AGGCTATACTGTTTGAATTAGAATTATAATTTTAAATGTAATAACGTAGACTAACAACATAAATTGTTTAAATTAAATTACAGTGGTTATTAATGCTGTTGTATAGCACTACAATATTAATGTGAAGTTAATTGAAGTTTGGAGACATTTTAAAATGCTTTTTTTTTCAGAAACGCATCTGACACTTGCAGCAGGGGGGGAGGGTAGCGTTGCGCGACCGCTCTTCCTCTGAATAAATGAAAACAATGTAACACAGTCGTTTAGACTTGAATTAAAAACATTTGACGAAAGAAAAACTGGAGCAGGACTACAGAAAGATGAATATGATTTCGGTTTTTATTTCTGTGACTGTATACGACCCACAGGAGACAAGACATTAACAGCAGTAGTTATTTCATTCCATTCTTTGGCTTTAGCAGCTCCTTTAATTCCACAGCTGACGCTGCTAAAAATTAGATTTTCTTTTCTCGATCTCGGAGAGCAGTGGCCTCATGTATCAACGGTGCGTACGCACAAAAACCTTGYGTACGCCATTTTCCACGCAAAACTCCGGATTTATCAAAACTCAACTGAACGTGGAAATGTGCGCAAACCCACGCCAACTCCAGGGCTGGCATACGCACGTTTCTGTGGTTTTGGTTCCATTGGCGACACTTAGATGTGATTCTGAGAAACTGTTCATGATGTGAAAATGATTATTGTTCACAGCAGACACATGATTAACAATTATTACATCCACATGATTAACAATTATTACATCCACATGATTAACAATTATTACATCCACATGATTAACAATTATTACATCCACATGGACGCAGTTAAATAAAGGACATGCAAAGTTGTGCCAAAAATACATTTAACAGGAACAGATTCAGCCTTACTGGAGGATATAATAAATAGTGTAACACGCAGAGCATTTATTTATAAACAGATAGAATTTTCTGATGACGAGTGGCTCATCAGCCGTTTTGAGGAAAAAAATCATCTTTCAGTTTTGCACTGCTGCGCTCTGGGAGAGCGACACACTGGTGCGCATGCACGTGCAGCAGCAGCGATCAAACTGGGGTTCCACAGGGGCTTTCCAGAGGGAGCTGGCAGACCGATTGGGACCGTGTCAGTCCAGTCCACCCAAAGCAGAGTCATGACCAACAGAATCGTCTCATCCATATGATTCTAAAGGCTGAGTTATGGTTGCGCTCTGGAGCACGCGCACCCTCGCTGGCAATGGAGGTGTTTCATACGTTGTTGTAGATTTCTCCAAAATGACACGTGGAAGTACACTTTACAACTTGTGAAAATGTTATAAGTAGGAGAGCCAAAGCTTGACAAACAAACAGACTGAACACAAAGGCTGCGGCGCGCGCAGCGTTTGTGAGGACTCTCCAACATCACGTCACGTCATGAAAACTCTACTGAGACGCAGAGACTCGTTCCTTAATATCAGCTATGAAATAAACTAAGATCTATGTTCTACCAAACATTTAAGTTCCCCCTGTGTTTACAGTAATTATGGTAATAAACTTGTGCGCAAAGTTAATATTTTCAGACTCAGAATGGATGGATGAGCTAGCTGCGCAACACAGCAGCGTGTGCACACACATACACACCAACCACTGACACAATCACTCGTTCTTTGCGTGATAAACATATTTTATTCCTATTCTTACTTAGGATTTTTTTTCTCACTCACATTATATTAAATTCATTATTTTTATGACTTTAGAAATTATTTCTGATTGCACAGGGATCAAACAAAACATGTCCTTCACACATGCAGGAAGTAATTTGCATCTGTTTAACAAAGTTAATGAAGGTGTGTCAGGGGAGGTGTCTCACCTGCGCTCAGTTCTACGTTAATTATGATGTAGAAAAGAAATGTGCGTGGATTCAGACGTATGCACAGTTTGATACATCTAGATTTTTTTGTGCGAACGCCGTTTTCTGGATTTGACCGTATGCCAGATTTCAGTAAGAAATCCACGCAAGTCTTTGTACATGAGGCCCCTGGACTTCAATCTCCGAACTCGTAAAGTTCTTATTTTTACTTTTCGCTGTCATTTTCATGAATGGACACTTCCTTGTATCTGMGGCAGGAAACATAGCCTTATATGGTGTTTTTGGGGTGGTAATTATGCTAATCACCTCTCCTCGTGCACAAGCAGCTGGATACAAACAGGTGTAATTCATCATGTTTACACAGCTCATTTACACACCTTTCCTGAAGATAAGAGTTTGTTGAATCTGGCGTGACATGTTCGTATGAACCCTTCAAACGAACAAAAGTAAGAGAAATTTAGGATAAGAATATGAACATGTTCTTGCATGTGGCTTATTGTTTTTTTACACATAAGCCTCTAAAATGTACCTGTGGTTGTGTAAAAACAGTTTGAGATGAGGTCAGTTCAGTCATGTAGATCCAACTTTCTGTGACCTGATTAACTGTTGAATATTGTCAAGTATGACTGAGTTACACAACAACACATAAAGCTGGGTTTTATAATGGTTTCATCAGAATCATATTGTCTTTGGGTAAATTATATTATTTTTTTTCATCCTTCGATGTACTGCTACTAAAATTCGGAACACAAAACCATATTCCTATTTGAGCTGCAAGGTTTGATGCATYAATCAAAAACTAATAAAAATAGAAAAAAATCGTGCATATAGTAACAGGACTTAATGATAATGCATTGCACCCTTTATAAGAATAATCAATTTCAAATTGCTTAGACCTTTGAAATTAATTAAGACAAATTTTTATTACATTTATTTTTTTGTTTTGTAAAAAATATAAAATGTACAAGTTAATTTTACACAGATAATAAAAGTATAATTGTGTTTTATTTAATAGTGTTACGCAAGAATCTGTTTTTTAAAATGAAATCATGATGGTGACTAAAAGGTGCTGATAAATTTCTTGTATAATTAGGTAATAATTTAATGTTTGTTGGTGTTTTAGAGCTGAAGGAGATGACTCTGAAGGTTCTCAACTGTATGAGCAGCTTTATTTCTATTCCTGCCATCATTCAACAAATACTTCAGGTGAGTTGTGCTGGAAAACAAACATTCTTAYGTGTTTTAATTTTGTAGACGGTTTGATATTGTGTATAGGACGCTGCTGGTCTTGACTGTATAACTGAAGGTTCTTCTTGTTTCTGCACATTCTTGTACCTCTTAATTCATCTTGAGCCAGACAGCAGATTAAACGGCACATAAAGGTTTGAGRAGTACTTTTAAACCCAGAAATAAGGAGCTGTTTGATGCTGCCAAACTAGTGAAATCAGTTTTATTTTAGCGCCTTTAAAGTTAGTGACCAAATCAGAATCAGATATTATAGCAGTGTCTATCCCTACAAATAAAAATGGTTGTTTATGTGTCAGAAGWTGTAATAAGAAGCATTTAAGAAATCTTATTTTATTTATCTTAAGTGCATGTTACATGTGGCCCATGTGCCTGTGTGTTCATCAGGATCCAGTTTATGGAAGAGGGAAGCTGGCAGAGATTCAAGGCCTCATTCTGGGAATGCTGGACACTTTTACCTACGAACAGGTAAAGCTGTGTGGATACGTTTTTGTTTCCTGATAATTAAAAGCCTTAAATACTTTTTAAACAATGGTGAAAATCCTTTCCGTTTTTTTCCCCAGACTTTACTCGAAACCACCACCAGTCTGCTGAACCACGACCTCCACTGGTCCTTGGCTCACCTCCGCTCTGCCGTCACGAAGGGGCTCCAYCCCCGACAAGACTACTGCAACATCTGCCTGCAGCAGTACAAGAGGAGGCAGGACCTGGCCGAGGAGATCATTGTGTTCAGGTAACCGCTGCTCGCCCTCGTCTACCACATTTTGAGTGTTCGGCTCAATGAACCTTGTCCTGTTCTTCTCGGTGAAACCCAACGGTGACACTGAGAAGACGTTTGAGTGGTGTTCTAGTGTCTTAACAGCTGTGCATTCTTCCAGCTGCGGCCACCCGTACCACATGCAGTGCCTGCAGCAGAAGGACTGTGGGAGAGGAGCCGCCTCTGAGCTGCAGCAGCAGTGGAGGTGTCACAAATGTTCATCCAGTCGTGGAGGAAGAGGCCCTGCTGCTGAAGCAAACAGGAGCCGCAGCGCATCTCTGGCTCAGGTTGGTGCGTTAGCCTCAGTTACAGCAGGTAAAATAAGTATTGAACACATCATCATTTTTCTCAGTAAATATATTACTAGAGGTGCTAATGACATGAAATTTTCACCAGATGTTGGTAACAACCCAAGTGATCCATAC